GAAAAAGAAATATGTGAATCTTCCTTTTAATGTTTTACTGCAGTCTTGTGATGTAAGTGTGCTGTATAACAAAATGCGTATTAAAATGAGTCACGCCCGCGGCGAAATGGAAGAAGAAACGTATGCTTTGTTTAAAGTAAATTACGCCCATCCTCTTATCTTCCTTTGCAGTCAGACTACATGTAATGCCATTGCATTACCTCGAAAAGATTGCAATTCCACAGTGCCTCGGCAGCGGTTATTTGAAAATGGCAACCTAAAATGAAAATAGTATCCATAGAAAATGTTACGAGGGTCCTTGGAGCGTCGGCATTAAATATAATTGTACATACCAAGTCAATTTGTTAATCGTCTCGTTTAATAAAAAAAAACCTAGCTTCTGAAATACGAGATATGAGGATAAAAACTTTCTTAAAAACTACTCACTGTATTCCTAATGGAGAGTGGTTTGAGAAAAGATATGATATAGAATTCGACGATATGAATGTAAAGGGCGCACGGATATGCAAAAATGTTTAAAAATTTAAAAAAACTGTTAAATAAAAAAATGTAAAATGACTGTTTTAAAAATTCACTATTATTCTGATATTTCATAGATATGTGCATATGCATTTCTACCGCGCGATGATATTCTACGTTTTTCGCATAACTGTATTTCTTCCGTTACTATGCATACTTGTTCTGGCTTTCTGCTCCTCTTGCTCTAACCACAATATTTCCCGAGAAGATTCTAATGCACGGCGGATTTTCGCGAAGCAACGCAGATTGCGCTTTAAAACTATATTTTTTTCTTTGATAAAACGGATTAGGTATATTAAGATTAAGGTATATTTTAATTAATCAATTTCGTACACTTTTATTTTCATACCGTGGAAGTAAAAGAAATTGGCGTTTGTAATTTACTTAATTTATTTATAACATTTTAAATTGTATGTTACGTATTTCTATGACATCATGTTTATATACTTTGTAAATTTCTTGGAAAAGATGAAATCTCACTTTTTTGGAGTGAAAAGTCACTCCAAATATTTATGAAAATACCGCCAATCAAAGTAGAGCGAAATTCCATTTTTTAAAAGAGTGAAATTGTTCACTCTTTATTTGGATTTATTCTTCAACTCTAAAAAAGTGACTTTTCTCAGAAAGAGGATGTGTAATCATAAAGTCGCATTTTTTGACTAGTCATGAAATCCCTAAGTACTTTATCTGTACAAAAGTACAAACATATTAAAGATTGAAGACATGAATTTCGATTTATTACATTTTATTAACGTTTTCAGTAAAAATTAATTTCTTTCATTATCCTAAAGTATCTATACAAAATAAATACTTTAACCTCTGTTAGTATCCTTTTGATTTTTATTTTATGTATGTACAAATGTATAAACAGGCTTACCTCTGATGGATTCATTTCCAAGTTTGTCAAACACTTGACGTTGTTCATACACTCAAAACAACTAAACACAGTTAACAACTGGCAATTATAAACTTGTATGAGAACAAGAACTGAAAAGGCCGTTAAGCGTGATTTGGCGAGATTTCTGCACTTTAAGTTGGAGTGAAGTTTAGAGCATTAACAATTTCACTTTAAAAATAAGAAACTTTTCACTTTTTGTCTTAGTGTGAAAGAATTCACTCTGTTAAAGTGAATACTTCCTCCTCGTAGAGTGAAACTGATCAGTAACTCCAGGATTAGAGTGAAAATTTCACTCCGAAAAATTTATAGAGTAAGAACTTTATTGTTATTATTTCCATTGTATTTAATTGTTTAAATTTTTGTAGCGGCTAAGAAGGACTTTGTTAGGTGAAACATTCAGCTTGTTTAACTTTATTAAATATACATACGTTTTATTAACTTTACATCTGTTTTTGCTTGTTTATCTTGGCTTTTGTAACTTTACATTTAATTATACTTTCGCTTTTTATATTGATCATTTTCTTAAATGACGATACTTCATTCGAAGTCATCGTATTTACATGCAATTCTAGCGAACCGATTATAAACGGGTACAGGAAATAGTAGAAGAAAGAATAAGAAGGAAACGGAAATTTACATATCGGCCAGATAGAATTTATCGCGCGTTGGCGAATAACGCTTCTCTTCATCCACGGGCGGGCACTTCGGGACGGGAAGCACGGCGTAGCTCGAGATCCCGGGGCTAATCTGCCTCCTGGAAAGTTTAAATGGAAACGCGGTACCGGGTAGGGGGTTAACGAAACATCCGCGACGCCGTGGTAAGGGCGCCGCTAAAAAATTTTTAAGCTGCTTAACGCTCGAGTTGAATTTCCACTAGCAGTCGTGGCAGCGATTTCAAAATATTAAGCGGTAGCTTTGTCGTTTCTCGATAGCATGTTCATCGATTGTAATTGATGACGTATATTAACAACAGGTATACAACGGTATATTAATATAACGAGATAATAATAAAATAACGTATCTAAGATTCGTCGCGCGTTCGAATAAAAAATCCGGGCGTGTCGAGCGAAAATCAAAAGCGGATAAACTGAAAACCTATTTGGTGGATGGGTTTACTCGATAGAGCAGGGAGATCCTTCTTCGCAATAAATAC